CAATAGCCTTAGGTGTCTGGCCAAATCTTATCAGAAATAATTAGGAGAAAATTTTTATTCTTATAATTTTTTCCGAATACAAATGTGTAGACAAATTAAGCCAATTCTGATCAAAATTGATTCTAAAAATTGCTCCAAATGCCATAATAATGATAATATACATGTAGTGTGTGTCAGTTTTCCTAAATGTAAATTGCAATTATGATAGCATTTGCTACCGCAGCACTTTTATACAAACTGTGATATGTGATAGCTACTACCAAGACAATATATGACAGGCAGGTAGCAAAACTGCTAGTTTTCACCATCACTGCTGGTAACAACATACCTGTAAAACCTTGTAAAAGTAGATTGCTTGATTTTAGTTGCAAGAAGGAAGAAATGGAAGAAAAAAATAAGAATGAGTATGATATGCCAGGATTTATTCCAGCCAATCCAGAGAATGAATATGAAATGTTAGAATTTAGTGATAATGCCAAGAGAAGTGATGCCGCCCCACCAACAGAAGCAGCACTGAAGAGGAAATCATCAAAGTTCTTAGCTTGGAACAGACCGTTAGTTGTTATTACTATATTACTGTGTCTTATAGTATTCCTACTGCTGGTAATACTTTGCTTGCTACTGGTGCAGTCTGCTAAAGATGCTAACTGTACCTGTACAACTACTGCTGGAGCTATTTCTGGTAACTTTGTTTTGCCCAACTTCACGCAATGGTCTGATAATATAGTAAACAGACTTGATCATAGCTTTCCTGACTTCAATGAATGGGCTAATGGTGTTGTCTCTAAAGTTAACAGCAATGTAACACAAAGCCTTCCTAACTTCAATGAATGGGCTAAGGGTGTTGTCTCTAAAGTTAACAGCAACGTAACACAAAGCCTTCCTAACTTCAATGAATGGGCTAAGGGTGTTGTCTCTAAAGTTAATGGCAGTGTAACAGGGAGCCTTCCTGACTTCAATGAATGGGCTAACGGCATTGTCTCTAAAGTTAACAGCAATGTGACACAAAGCCTTCCTAACTTCAATGAATGGGCTAAGGGTGTTGTCTCTAAAGTTAATGGCAGTGTAACAGGGAGCCTTCCTGACTTCAATGAATGGGCTAACGGCATTGTCTCTAAAGTTAACAGCAACGTAACACAAAGCCTTCCTAACTTTAATGAATGGGCTAAGGGTGTTGTCTCTAAAGTTAACAGCAACGTAACACAAAGCCTTCCTAACTTCAATGAATGGGCTAACGGCATTGTCTCTAAAGTTAACAGCAATGTGACACAGAGCCTTCCAGACTTCAATGAATGGGCTAACGGCATTGTCTCTGAAGTTAACAGCAATGTAACACAGAGCCTTCCAGACTTTAAAGAATGGGCTAATGGTGTTGCCTTTAAAGTTAACAGCAATGTAACACAGAGCCTTCCCAACTTCGATGAATGGGCTAATGGTATTGTATTTGATGTTGCCAGGAATATAACACAGAACCTTCCAGACTTTAAAGAATGGGCTAATGGTGTTGTCTCCAAAGTTAACAGCAATGTAATACAGAGCCTTCCCGATTTTAATGAATGGGCTAATGGTGTGGCACAAAATACCTTTCAGTTACTCCAAAGCTCTCCCAACTTAACTGAACTTAATGAACAAATTTTACAAACTACAAGAAATTCTACAGCAAAGCTAATGGACATTGTTGATACTTTATCTAATCT